GTCCTTTACGAATACTTTTTTAGCGTACCTAATGTCTGACATGAATTTTCACATTCTAGTTTTCAATTCTAAGACTGTAATTTACTAATTGTCTTTACCTGTGGATACCGGCGTCGGAGACACTAGTCCATTTTCTTTAGGTGCCCTATTGTTTTCCACCGTCACACCTGTAACCAAGAAAAAAATATTAAAAATGATTTTTCGTACGACTGACATTTTTCAGCATTATATGTTAAGCAAACTTGGTTAAAATCTAAACATTTTTGGCATTTGATTATTTTTTATAGAAATGAAAATGAAAAAATGAAAATGAAAATNTTATGATGGGTTAATGTTTTTGGGCGGTTTTTAGGCGGTTTCTGACAATGTCCTTTCAGCAGATTTCGCAGTAAACTGTCTTTTTGCATAAGCTGTTTTTACATGAGCCATAGGTGCTACACTCAGGATTCTTCTTTTATTTTGAGTATTTGGGTTAAAGGGTAAATTTCTGTGAAGTTTTAAAATAGCTTGTAAGACGTAAAGCTTTCTTACAGATAAGAGGCCGCTTTGGGAGTATAGTTCGTCTGTTGGAAACCTGTATCGTTTAAAAAAGATAACTTTTAGCAAGGATCTATGCGCCCGTTCAAGTTCTAAAAATTTGATTTTAGTGGTTCCACCCCAGACTGGAATGCAGTAGTTTAGGACCGATTGAGCCAGTGATTTATATACTTGTTTCAATAAGACTGAGTCGGCAACGTGTCTCAGAGTTTTAAACACCCATAAAAGCTTACGGGTTCTGCCTATTAATAAGTCTACATGTGCATGCCACGTAAGGCGTTGATCGACCATTACTCCAAGGTACTTAATTTTATCTACTTTATCTATGGCTTTACAAGAGCAAGTTAGGCTGGCGATGTCATTACATGAGTGAATTTTTATTTGGTACTTCAAATCAGGTTGAGTGCTATTGATCTTTGTAAAGCAGATATATTTCGTTTTAGATGCATTTAGAGTCAATAGATTATTATCCAACCAGTGAGCTACATCTGCGAGACCCTTTTTAGCAACTGTGTGTAAAAATTTGATTTTAGTGGTTCCACCCCAGACTGGAATGCAGTAGTTTAGGACCGATTGAGCCAGTGATTTATATACTTGTTTCAATAAGACTGAGTCGGCAACGTGTCTCAGAGTTTTAAACACCCATAAAAGCTTACGGGTTCTGCCTATTAATAAGTCTACATGTGCATGCCACGTAAGGCGTTGATCGACCATTACTCCAAGGTACTTAATTTTATCTACTTTATCTATGGCTTTACAAGAGCAAGTTAGGCTGGCGATGTCATTACATGAGTGAATTTTTATTTGGTACTTCAAATCAGGTTGAGTGCTATTGATCTTTGTAAAGCAGATATATTTCGTTTTAGATGCATTTAGAGTCAATAGATTATTATCCAACCAGTGAGCTACATCTGCGAGACCCTTTTTAGCAACTGTGTGTACTTCATCCCATGTTGAACCAGAGAAAACTATAGCGGTATCATCTGCATATGAGAAGATTTTCCCATTGTAGATATCCAGGTTGCAGAGGTTATTAATGTAAATTAGGAAGAGTGTTGGTCCCAACACGCTTCCCTGGGGCACTCCATATGTTATTTCCTCCAGCTCACTAACATGGTCACCAACTCTAACACACTGTTTACGATCGCGCAAATAGTCACAAAGCAATGATAGAGGAGTGCCTCTAACACCCACCGATTCCAATCTACTTACAAGGGTGGGGACGGAGACTGTATCAAAGGCCTTTTGAAGGTCTAGAAAAACTGTTATGCATTTCTTATTTTTGTCTACACTTTGTGAAATATGAGATGTTAATGCAATTATGGCGTCTTCTGTGGAGATTCCTCGCCTAAAGCCGTATTGAGAATTAGATATTAGTTTGTATTTATTTAAGAAGTCCAATAGTCTATTGTTTATAATCTTCTCTATTATTTTAGACAATACTGGGAGAACTGATATGGGTCTATAGTTACTGGCCTTGTCTCTGTCCCCACCCTTGTGTATGGGAGTAATTACAGCCCGCTTAAGAGCGGAGGGAAAGATTCCCTGTATAATACATAAATTAGCCAAGTGAGCTATAACAGGGGATACTTCTCTGCCAATATGTCTTAGAAATTTTGTTGATATGCCATCCCAGCCTGCAGCACTCTCAAGTTTAAGCCCCATCAGAATGTTGTAGACCTCATCTGGGTCCGTCTCCTGTACCACAAGAGAGGAGATTTGTTGTGTATTAGCATTAGTATTAGTCAAACTGTCCTGAGATTGACGACGCGTCATTATATTATCGGCCAATAATCTACCAACTCCAGCAAAATATTTGTTAACACAATCTACAGATTCTTTTGGTGTTGATTTTGAGTACAGTAGTTCATTGCTACTTGATTTGTTTGCTTTGCGCTGAGTAATATTGTCAATAGATTTCCAAAGTAACCTAGGATTCTTTTTGTTTTTATTTAGTTGATCTCTATCATAATTTCGTTTTAATGTTTTAATCAGGCCGTTACAATGGTTACGGTACCGTCTGTAGGTTATTTTTAGAATCTCATTATCTGGATCAGATTTGAGTTTTTTCTGCATACTATTGCGGTTTCTGATACAACGAAGAACGCCTGGAGTAATCCAGGGTTTTATTATACGATTTTTGCATGGAATTTTCATATTTGTTGTGTTCGTCAATATACACTGTCTTAATTCAAATGTCAACAGATCTGCGAGAATGCTGGGATTTGTTTGATTAAGCATGTTAAGGAGATTTACATTTTTGAAAGATTCAGTTGCTTTTTCAAAATTAATTGAGGTTCTTGATTTAGGGGTTTTATTTTCGTTTCTTATATTAGAGAGCTTTAGATAAACCATGCAGTGGTCAGTTGTCGATGTATTCAAAACGTTTATAGATGCAGAGTTTTTACTTCTATCTAATTTTAGAATAAAATGATCCAAACAACTTTTTACTCTAGTCGGCAACGTATGGCCAGGTAACAAGCCATGTGTTGCTAACATGTTTAAGTAATTATGTTTGTTATTTCTTTCATTTGTTTGAGTGTTTTGGTCATTTGATATATTTATATTAATGTCCCCTGTGAGAATTATTGTTTTGTGTGTTTTTATGTAGTTTAGGTGTTTATCTAGTGAGTTTATAAAGTTATCTCCATTTTGGTTAGATGGCGAGCGATAAACTCCAAGAATAGTAAGGTCATTTATTGTTATCTGGAGACATGAGGCATCTGTAAGTATAATCTCGTCCACTTTGACATTGGCATCTTTCTTTACAAAAGCTACAACTCCATCACACTGATTTAAATGATTTGTTGTTGCAAATGAACTATAATTTTGTAACTGTGGAATGTTTTTATTCAAGTCAATCCAACACTCAGTCAGAACTATCACGTCGACCGTGAAGTCAAATTGAGATAAAGTAAGACAGAGGTCATCAAGATTTTTATAGATGCTTCGTATATTTTGTGTTATAACGGTGAAATCTGTGTCAAATATATTACCTGCAAATGATGGAAAAACCTCAAGATCACACAGACTAGAAGACGCTATTTCTGTTTTATCTATCTCTCTTACAGTGTTTAATAAGCTATCCATTCAGACTTGTCATATAGTATGACTAGGTGTCGCACACAGCACTTTACGTAATTAATAACGGTTAGAAAGACTTTGTTATGGTTAATATAATGCATGTTTATACTTTCAGTACAGAAAAAGTAAGCACCTGGCTTTCCATTACTTGTCACATGGCAATTAAGCGAGGTTCCGAACCAATGATTTTTGAGTGTATATGATATTATGTGAATGTGTAAGTGAGTGATCGATGAATTACAGTCAATGTCAACAAAAAGCTTAGTGTTTGTGTATCTGTAAAAACTGTACAGCCTTACCTTGAAATATATTTTAATACTTTGTATTGTTGCACTATAGAAATAACACACCTGATGTTTGCAAATTAAAGCAATATTCATGAAGTACACAGTATAGAAAAATAATAAAAATACTATTATTAATAGGCGACCCAGCACAAAAAAGTCACTAAATAGTCACGTTTGCTGCATAAGATTATGGACCTGAGTTTCGCTTCTTATCAGGATGATAGGGGATTCAGTTGTTTTGCGAACGTAGACTCGTCCATACGAGGTCCAACAAAATCTGTATTCTTTTGTTTTGGCAAGGTCACGGGCGAGAAAATAAAGTCTAGCCCCCTTAGGAGTAAGCTGTTCCGATATATAAATCGGAGTGTCCTCCTTTGTCTTAAAGCCTAGGTGTTTGGCTCGTAGCTTTTCTTTATTTTTGATATTATATGACTTGCACTTTTGTAGCACCGATGACTTCAAAAGTGAAGAACGTGTCTCCACTATTATTGGGGTGCATTTGGTGGCGTCTCTTCTTGCACGCACTCTGTAGATGTCACAAATATCATTCTTAGAAATGGAGCACCCCACGGTTTCGGATAAACACACAACCATATGTATTAGGTCGTCCTTGGTTTCTGTGGGCTCAACTTTTGGCACGTTCTTAATTTCAAAGTTTCCTTTTTGATTTTCTCGTTTCACTTCCTCTAGTTTATCTTCCAGTAGTAGTATGTACTCCTTATCCTTTTTGTTTTCACATTCTAATTGTTCTATTCTTCTTTTAAATTCTTCATTTTGTTCGGCTAAGAATGATACAGACTTTTCTATGTTCTCGTTTGTCTTTTTGATGTCTTGTAGTACTGGGTAAATTTTTTTGATTTCGTTTTCTTGCTTTTCCATCATTGTTTGAAACTTAGCCAACATCTCTTGCTTGAATGTTTCTAAATTGTCTCTTTGCATGTCATCTCTGCTTCTTTTACTAGTACGGAATGCGACATAGTTTGGGGGCGTAGTATTTTGCCCCGTTGCGCTGATGTTTGACTCGGATAGCGATTTGCTCATGTCGCCTTCCATCTCACAAAATACACCTGTATTTTCTAAGCAATAAAATCGTTATGTATTGTTTTCAAGTGGCTTGTCGTAGCACCGCACGTGCAAACGTCGCAGATTCGTAGTCCGTAACAGCTCGTAGCACGCCGTAGCTTCGTAGCGAATACGCGTCAGCGCCGAGTCGATGTGCGAGAGGGTCGAAAAATCGCAGTTGTCACACTCACACGTGAAGTAAGCGGGGGACGCGGCTTGCAGAGACCGGTCCGCCCCGGATGGTGAGTTCACGCTGTGTTGGTTCGTGTGTTATTAGCGATTTAAGTTGATGTTTGCTTGGGCTTGAATTTTATTAGTGATTTACGAAAACAACGCGCGACGCGTCCGCTCACAATCAGGTCTCGGACGAAAGAGGATTATACAGGGTGGTTATACATATGGAACGATAAGTGATCTCACTTGATTATTTCTAAACTATACAAGATATCGAAAAACTAGTTACTGATTCTGAAAGTGCTTCACGAGCTCTTTCAAATGGTACCAATAATAGGTTACATACAGGTTATGGAAGCTGGTAACATTCAATTTTGTAACTTCTCGTTTCCACCCTGTATAATCCGGTTGTATCTCCAGGTCACCTAGATACATTCCATAGCAGCTGTAATAGACATTTAAGTACATACATTTACCAATTTTGGTGATAAATAGGCATTTTGTATTAGTTTTTGTATAACGCCTGAACAAAAACAAAGGGTAATATTATTTTGGTGTTATACATAGATTTCGAATATAAAAAATATATAATTTAACTAATTAGGACATGACAAAAAAACTGAGGTATGTCTCGTTTCTGTCGGGCCTGGGTCACAGATGACCGTTCTTCTTTAATAAACATCCGTTAAGCAATTTTTTATCAACCACGCCATATCATCGTATCTACGATAGGATTGTATCGCGTTGTCCTTGCTAGCCGGCCATTTGAGTAGTTGCAGTGGAAAGAGTCCGTTTATGTTAAATATGCTGCGCGGGAAACTTTAACACCGCGAGTCAAGTGCGCACAGCGCCATCTATCGATTTTTTTGTGAATTACTTGTTTTATAGCGCTAGTTTACTACAAGAAAAACGAAATACGTTTTAGCAATTATTTCTTGTGATTTTAAAATTGAATGCCTATTTTAAGCTGTATTCTAAACTGAGATTCCGTTGATCACCGATAGATGTCACTGTGCGCAGTTACATCACGATAGAAAAGTTATACGAGGCCAGTACTTAAGTTACCAAGCTTTTTGTGCTAAAGTATTATATACACACAAACAACCTTCCAGTGATATTTATTACTTATTTATTACTTAATTAGTATTCATTTGTATTAAGTTAGGTAGGTTTAGTTTATGATCTAAATTTTTGTAAGTGCTGCTTTCGTTGAAGCAGCGCTATTTAATACACCCGACGGTACCTGAAGCGTTAAGCTTCTAACAGTTTGTACAGTAATGCAGGATCCCGCAAAACTGAACTGTCGTTTAAACACTGTGTTTAAAATTTTAATTACAAAATCCAAGTTTTTTGCGGGGCACTGCAAACGGGATGTACGTGTGAATTGTATTATTTAATATTAACGATATTAAAAGACGTATATTATCATACCTACCACTAAACGGAATCCTGCAAAAATCAGTTCCTGCAAAAAACGGGATCTCCCTCTGGAAACATGCCATAATAACACTGTCTCTAGTGCATTTGTAAAAGAGGCTATTTTAGAACAAAACTTTATAGTTCGGACTTCATACTCGTCACCGTAGACATTCTAATAATATTTTCTATGTGGGTAGTTTAAAATAACAATAACAGTTAAAACATAACAACAATATAATTAATTATACAAAACATTTTAATTATATTCACAAACCTCTTTACCATACGCTCCGGTTAATATCTAGTTTGTTTTATTAATGGTTAAAGTTTTTTGCTATTGTCTGTAAAAGTTATAATTTGGCGATAATTATTTGTCAAGGACAGGAATTGAAAATAAATTGAAACAAAATAAAGATGTCAGACTTTCGAACAAACGCAATACGGCTTTTTATTTTTGCTCTCTTCGTAAGTTTATGAAGAAAATCATTATTATTTGATGTGTTTACCGCTATAAATAGGTGTATTGATGACGCAAAAAAAAAGAAACAATTGATATTTATTTATTTTGTTCACTACATAAATTGCCATCTTAGGTAGGGCTTGTTCTAAGTCCGCCTGCCTAGCTACCACCATCTTATTCTTACCTAAGTCTGTCGCCATAACAACAATGTTAACAGCATTGTTGTGTTCCGGCAGTTAGAGGTAAGATAGCCAGTTCCTCCGTGGTTGAGGATTCCGGGTGAAGCTCGCTTCCACCTTCGGCCTGATCATCACTTACTATCAGGTAGTTGCTAATTGCTCATAAGATAGGCCCCCTTAATTTAATTTATTGTCCGTGGTGCATAATCTTTTCTTAAAGGTTTTAAGCCTTTGTTTGTCACCTGTCATCCGCTTTGCAATGGAGGGAAGTCGAACCTTAATTTCGAACTCCTCCTATGTTCTTCTGATTAATTTCGTTGCGGGTCCAATGACAGTTTAACTTTCCCCCGGGACAAACTTGACCTTCATTGGTTGGGTTTTTGTGGCGGTCAAGCTGTAGATCCTGGCTACACAGAAGTTCCAGTGGTGGGAACGAGAGGTGGGAATAGTCCCGTATCAGGTGAGATACAGGGAGCTTCCTCGTTGTGGATAAAAAAACGCTCAAAATATTCCGTAATTTTAACCAATAGTCGAATTATAGGTTTTGCTCGCGGCTAGGTAAGTATGCCCACGTGAAATTTTTTCGCTCTGTTACAGTTAGTCTATTACGCCTAAAAACTTAGATAAAAATAACCTATATTTTATCCTGGATTTTGTACTTCCTCCATTAATTATTTTCATCTATCAATTCAGTGGTTTATACGTGAAAGAGTATCAAACAAAAATTCTCACAAACTGCTACAGGATGGAATAGGATTTTAGCTTAGTTTACCAATAACAACCAACAGATGTCGCTGTACTTATTTGAAACGCGGTGGTAAAGTTTTACTCAGATCCTACTTAAGGTAAGTTTGGCCATCACCAATTCGTATAGAAACAATTATAGAATGAAGACAACAAATTTTTGACAGTGCTGCTAAGATCAGCAGCACTAAATAAATAAAAAACTACGTACCTCGAAATCATCTGAAAAGTTCTCGAGTGGCTGTGACCACGGGCCGGGAGACGTACTGTGGGCAGGGCACTAGGTAGACCGACGATCTGGTGAAAGTCACTGGAAGTACTTGAATGCGGGCAGCGCAGGAAATCTTTGGGGGAGGCCTTAGTCCAGCAGTGGACATCATTTGACTGAAACGAACAAACCTCGAAATAAAACTGACTATAGTCCTCGCTTACTCGCACACTCGCTGTAGCCACGTTACCCGTCGCACAGTCACGACAGCAATATAATTACGCGCGAGCGATAAGGATGGGTAGCTTGGGGTCATTGCACGAAATTCTACGTGCTCGGCGACCAGACTTTAGTGACTACTAATATTATTATCCGTTTCCTAAATTAGGTAATTGTATTTTTTTTAATTCTAATAAATCAGGTTTTCATAATTTATCAGGGACTCTGAGAGAAAATGTCCTCTTTCATATTACTAAAATATCTGGCTCATTTATTGTCCAGAAGCAGTGGTAGGGACGTGTAGAAGTGCTTTCTAAAGGCTTTTAAAAAGCACTTCTACACGTCCACACTTGCAAAATGAGTTTTAATGAAAGTTTTATCAGTTAGGTATATAAAAAAACGTACCTGTACAAGAAAACAACTGGGCTGGGAGTCTCAAAAAAATTAAGGGCTTCATTTAGGTCCGACCAAAATGGAAAAAAAACCTATCCGATACAAAATTGTGTGGAGAAAATCATTGATTATGCAAACTAAACTAATTCCCAATGCATGTAGGTAGGAATTTAGATTATTATCGTGTGTTCTCAGCTCAGTTCTCAGCATCTTTTCAAAGCATCCACTCTAATTCCTAGTCCCACCAACAGATGTCGCTGTGTTTTTTTGAATCGCGGTGATATTGTTATGTCGCCCGTCTATAAGAGGCAAAGCAAATATTTTTCGACAACAGTAGTAACAGCTTTAAATGTAAGCTTTAATCTTTAGAAGTGTCGTAGCTCGTATAGAATCATATAGCTCGTATTTTTGTAAGTGCTGCCGAGTTCAGAACGAAGCAACACTGTGTTATCTAAGTAGTAACTAAGTAGCTTTTGACCGCGACTTAGTATGCACATGTGTGACAGACTAAAGTGTAAAATAGGTCCCAAACAAATCAAGGACTGACGTCATGTTTTAGGTCGACCAAAATCGAAACAAGATACCTGTTACGGCTCCTGCGCGCATACGTCACTCGCCATACTAAATTACGTAACATTGCTCTTGTAAAATCTTAGGCGTTTAGCTAGTTTAAATGTCATATTTAAATGTTACTCACTTGCCTTCCGATCGTCGCGATACGCACATCATTTTGTACTATTAATTTTCTATTATACTAAAAACCTCAAAATTCCGAGTTTCATTTGGCTCCAAGTGTCAAGCGAAGACAATACCTATCTAATACAAAATAGTGTGGAGAAATCATTGATCATACAGAGTTAATTCCAATGCATATAGACATAGAATTGTTATTTTTCTCAGCTCTTTTCAAAGCATCCATTCTAATTCCTAGTCCTACCAACAGATGTCGCTGTGCTCTTTTGCATCGCGGTGATATTGTTATGTCGCCCGTCTATAAACGGCAAAGCAAATATTTTTCTATACAGTATTATTAGCTTTAAGGTTTTAAGCTTTAAGCTTCTGAAATGTCGTAGCTCGTGTATAGCCAGGCTCGTAGCGTGGCTTGTATTTTTGTAAGTGCTGCCGAGTTCAGAACGGAGCAGCACTGTGTTATCTAAGTAAAACCTATGGGCTGAGTGTGAGTTTACATAAAAAAACCGGCCAAGAGCGAGTCGGGCTCGCACACAGAGGGTTCCGCCGTACAAACGTAGCGGTTTACAATTTATGACGTATTAAATCAAATTACTTACTTGATTCGGTTGCGAGTAGTGGCGAATTTCAAAATATGCGGTATGATTATTTTTTATTTATTTATTTTTCCATTATAGGTAGGTACCTACCTCAGCGTTTTGAATTTTTGCGTTGATTTAGAATTTCTCACAGTTTAGAGGCAATTAGATTTAAGAAGTGTTTGATATGAATTTCAACTTTAATATCTCTACGCNTTTTATTGCTCATATCTTAGACGAACTGTCCACTCGCTAACAGCTATCCTACGAACATTTCTGAGCTCTTGCTGGACGTCGATACCAGTCAAATGACGATTTCGTAGAGAAGTTGACATGAAAAAAACGGTTTTCCCTCTGCGATGTGCACCGGCAATGTTCAGAACTTGGTCTCGGGATAAAGCCACCGGTATCCCGAAAGCGTCTTCAAACTTTCGAAACCCAGGACTGGCTTATGTGGAGCTGACGTGCGACAGCCCGCTGGCTGAGCCCTTCTTGCAATAGTGCAACGATTTGTGCTGCTTCTGAAGGTGTAGAATCCCAGGTAAAGTGTCAAAAGAAGCCGAGATGTGTATGGATCAACGTGTGAACGCAAAAATCTGAAAACACGTGCTTTTATAGGGTGTAAATAGGCCGCAACTCGCGACGTATCAAACAGTTGGTACATGTCTTTTTTCTTACTTCTTCACATCAGCCGGGATATCTTTTTAAATACTGGTGTGATTTAAATGAATTTGGTATCAATTTAAAGTTAAAAGTTTAATCTTTAAAATGGTGCTACTTTTTTTGTTTCTAACAAATTCGTTAATAACACAAGATCGCGTGGAAACAACTTCATGTAAGTGATTCCATACTTTTGCTCGCAAGTGTAGTAGCGATCGATACCTATACATTAAAAAGAAAATAATTATATAAATTAATAGACATTATTATATTTTTATACCTTGCCACTTCACCTTTAGTAATGTCGTTCCACACTGTTTTTCCTTCAGGTGTACTCATCTTCTCAAAGAGTTGTACGTGTACACTGTTCCAAAGGTCAGGGCTGCCGATATCATACAATACGAAATTCTTTTCAGGGGCATTAACTCTTGACATTTTATTAGTATTTTTAGTTCTTTTATCAAAATTTTTGTGCGTGGTATGATCTAGAAAATTGTATGGTTTATCTCTATTTTCTCTAATTTTTGCAGTAGATTTTCTATGATTCTCATTTCGACTTGATCTATCTTCGGGTTTTTCCCTCTTTGATGATAGTTGATGAAGTTCGTTTTGGACATGTGAAGCCCGATGCGTATGCGGTTCAGTGTTTGGTGCCGATTTCATATAATTGTCGTCTTCTACATTATGCGTTGAGGATTTTTTGTCTAGTGTATCAGCACCGCTCGCAGGCTGTTCGAGTCTTCGGTAAAATCGATCTTTTTCGACCCAAGGAATTTTATAATCATCGGTGATATCTTCAACGATGATGTTATGTTCATGCCTTTTATCTCGTTTCCATGCAGGGTTGTTAGCTAGCGTACAACTATCTCTTTTAACTGTAATTAAATGTTTTGATGAACATAATTAATAGAACTACGTAGCATAACGTTGCTGATGTTTAAAGTCTAAGAATGATAATAATAACGTCTCGCATAAAATACGGACACGTTAAGAATCCAAAACAAGTTTTTTGTCGCTACCTCAGCGCTAACATGCAAACAGGTAAGTAAAGATAGACGTGTGAATACCGTAGCAGGGGACTAAAAACCGGTTTGGCCGTATGGGGAGACGGCGCCGACCGGCGAGGCGGCGCGGCGAGCAGAGACCCCGCGCAGCGCCGAACGAGGCCGGTTAGTTAATGCAGTGCGCTTACGTCGGCATATTTATACGTCACAACAAACTATCAAAGTAACACATGGAGAAACTAATATCAGGCGTACGCGCCGAACCTTGCTTATGGAATCCAGTTCATTCTGACTATCGGGAAGTCTTAGAAAGGGAAGCAGCTTGGCAGCGAGTCGTTACGCATTGTAATTGCAAATCTATACCTGACGGTGAGTTATTTTTTAACATGAATTGTTAACATTAAAGAACTGGATGTGTGAAAGTTATTTGTTTGAGTACACATAGCAGTGTTAGCACTGATACTGCTGTTAGGCACTGTCTAATGAGATAGTTTTAAGCGGTTAGAAAATGTTTATAAAATAAATTACTTTGCTTAGTTACCGTTATTACCTACTCATTGCTATTTACAGAGAAACCTAAACAATTTCATGCCGTAAAATGTTATATTGTTTCCAATACATGTAAATATGGCGTTGATAGTTATTTACGTTTATTTTTGTAACTATTCAAAAGTTTTTGCGTTCCGTACGTGTCGTAAATGTTCAGTGATTGGATAGAAGGTTAAGGTTAACCCAATCAGTGGATTAACAAAATGAAACAACTAGCACGAAGGTTTAGATAGTAACATTTTTTTAAATTTGTTTACAGTCAAAGCCGCAAGAGCAGCGTGGAGAAAATTGCGTGACAATCATAGGGAGGCACTAAAAAGGGCTAAATTGGGCCAAAACAAGCTTTTACCTGCGCAAATAACGACATGGAAATACGCCAAAGCGATGCAGTTCCTTGAACCCTACATGAAGTACAGAATTACAGAAACCATAGAAGCCGACGGACTCGACGAAAAGGACGTAAACACTTTGGACTCCGATGTATCGACTAGTGACAACGGAAATGTATCTCAAGATGTGCTTTGTTCTGCACAAAAGCGACGGTGTGTCGAAAACACAGGCGACTCCACATCAAGACCTCAGTTTGCTAGCGAATCCTCGTTGAGACTTACCCAAGCAGACGCCTTGGAATCATTTTTTGGTTGTATGTTGAAGTCTACAAGAGAAATGCCACTATGGATGCAAACACAAGTGAAGAAAAAGATTTTCGCAATTATAATAGACGCTGAAGAACAATTGTCATCGAATAATCGAAATGATGAGAGCAACACACAAAATATTCCTACTATAACAAATATAAAAACAGAAGTAATATACCCTGAAGATACCTACTAGCTAAAGTAGCTGTTCTATCCACTTTAGTATCTAGAACTTTTTATAATAAGAAAAGAAGTGATTGTGAATTACAATATTCGGTTACACACGGAATAGAAAGTTTTTAGACTACGCCACGTGTAAAAAAACTAACAAGTTAATTTATCGGTAACATTTACATTACAGCCAAAGAAAACCGTGCAAAACATTTTTCTTTGTTTCTTTTACCTTGGTGTTACTGAAACTATATTTAAGAGCTCAATTTCATATGTTTAATATGAATAAAGACATACAATGCTGATTCTATTTTTTAATAAAACTACGACAATAGAAACATAGGATACCTTACCTCTAGTGTGATCTTGAATTGCCAGACCAATTTGGTTCTTCGAGAATTCATTTGCATGTTTTACACTAAATAACGTATTTAAGTTTGCACTGGCTTTAGGCGTCAGCGATGTCAGTTGTCCAGTTAAATTGGCGGCATTTTCAGGGATTAAACCTATAAAAAAAAAAAAGGTCGAAAAGCTAACACGAGAAGTTCTTTGGACGATACTTACTTGGGTAAATTTAGCATTTTACATTAGAAGTTACACAACCACAAAACATTACATTGCTTAGAGTCCTGTCTTTCTTCCACTTCAGAGTCGGCCATAACATTATGCCGCTCAGTGTTCTCGAAGTGCTGTCTCCATTCCTTCTGATCCGCCAATTCATCCAAGTTACGCTGAACACGACTCTATGTATAAAAAATCATTATTCCAAAATTAAGCAGGAACGAGTTAAAATGGGTCTACATCTACATACATAGATGACTTACTAACCTTTTTTAATTTACCCGTACCTCGATCGCTTGTTAACGTTAAAACTCCACTGACAGTCTGCAAAAAAATATGAATCCTCGTAATATTCCTTTAGTCTGTATAAAATGATACCGGTTATGAATCGACAATCAAAAATAGATTTAAATTCAACTTATCACATGCTTGATTTTTAAGAAAAATGTAATTTTGCTTACATCAATACGTCGCAGCTTGTACGCTTGCACTGGAGGATCTCTTCTTAAACGTAGGATGTAGGGGTCCAGGAGACGAGCTCGTCTCTTGTTAGATCCATCGAAGACATGCTCGATAGGAATATATTCGTCGCCTGTGTTCTTCTGAGGAATAGTCCATTACATATGGATTGAAATTGAATGCTCAAAGTAATGAAATTAATGAATTAACGGATTACGACACATTTATTATTATTTATTATGTAGTCATTGTTATTAAATAAAATTAGATTACCATCAGAGTATTATAAACCTAACAGATACCAATGATATACAAACATCTTAGGCAGACACTTACACCTGGCTCACTAGTCACTTTAACGGTAAGTGCTAGCTTTTTAAGACATCCTTGCAGAGCGCTATGTTTATACAACTCTTCACGTTGGAAACGAGTGGCTTGATTTTCAAGAAAATTCTGATCTTCCTGTTGAATAATTACGGCAATAAGTACTAAACTTGTTATGTTAAAATACAAGAGCATAAAAGCAAAAATCATAGAGCGATTTTATTGAATGCTTAAAATGGTTAAGTTTCTTATTTTTTGTAGAGCATGTGGCTATAGCCTAAATTTCTGAAGTTCGATTAGAAAACTAATTCTATACAACCATTAATAGGGTGGGTATGGTTTATACTCGATAATTTAATAGAAAACTGATATGTACTAACATTCGTTTCACAGTTTATAAACACTGCCCTAACTACAACTTGTTCTTGCTTGGGATCACAATATTCCTCAGTGTCTTTTAATTCTACATTCATTACTAACTTCGCAATGAAAATAAGAAACATCGCATTCATAATTATATGCATATTTTTGCAATAAAATTCTTTCAACTTAATTGCAAACGGTTTTGAAAATAAATACTGATAGAAATGACAGCTACGCCACAAATGTCAATATCAAGTCAATATCTTTCATTAAAACTATTTAACGTATAGATGACCCACGCTGAACTGTCCCGCCAAACTCAATGACAGGGGGGCGCTACCATCGTTCAACTATATGGTTTCCAAACATGGCAAAAATCTGAACCAGCGATCCGGTATTGACGGTGGCGCCCCACTGTCAATGTCATCGACAGGACAGTCCAGTATTTTGGAACTATAGACGAATTCTCTATAGCGTTTACATGACACAAAAACAGGTTTCAACCCTTATCACTTAACTCTATACCTTCCCTACAAAATTATTATTGAAAGAATACCGATTATCTTTTATCGTCTTGCTGTGTGAACCGTGACCGACTAAAATCGAGCCGTGACTTCGCTTATTTTCTTCGCCTACATTTTATTACTAATACCACACTAATACTTGGATCTTAGCCTGACAAGCAGATAGATATTAAATTGCGATAGTCACACAAGACGCTACGTGCCGTCATTATAGCCACGATTAGGCCGACATGTGGACTAATGGTATGATAAATAAAGCATATCTTTTTAACTTCATAATCTATAAGGGGATCATCGCGGCAATATAACTATTAGTCTAATGAGGAATGAATGCTTTTAATTAAAATAACAATTATCATTCTTGCGTTTATTCCACTGTCTGGCTTTAGATTAAACTAGCTTTACAATATCACGATTCAAACGAGAAAAGGAACACTATTTCTTTTAACTTTTATAAGCATGAATCTATTTTAAATAAATTAAATTCTTCAAAAACAATTAAATTCTTAACGAAAGGCAACCACTCCCTTTCTCATTTCAATTTTACATTTATATGGATTAATAACTATCATATTAAATTGAAAACTTATTAATGTCATTCATCTACAAGAAATTGACTGAATAAATCTATCTAAAATTGGCCACTTACGCCAGATTATAATGGGAAACTACGTGAGCAATTACTTTATATAAGAATGCCACACTTATGCATGCAAAAAGACCTAACCAACTCAACAACAGTCAAATACTTTTTAAAATTAACATTCATCATTGTCGGACAAATTATGTATGTCCTATCACAATAAACAATTTACATGGTTCGTTAGATCTTTTTTGAGATTAGTAAACCTAAACATTACATCCTATTTTACTTAATATGCAAATATACGGCGGAAAATCTTATCTAATATCAAACGTTTGTTCACAATTTTATTGCATGCAACAAAGCATTATCATAATAGTATCAAACAAGCAGGGTCCATCTAGTATGCTTCATTACTTTTATCACTTTGGTAAACAATTAAAACAAGTCAAACTCGCAAGTCACAACCAGTTTTAAGAAACTTATTTATTTGATACTGCTGTATATCAAATCCCAAACATTACTTGTATGACTAACGATAACGCCAAGCTTTACTACAATTGAAGCTTCTATTTATCATAATAACACGTAAACAACTGTAAGAGTCAAGTGATTCCCGATTTTATCATTTAAGTCTACACATGATTGAAAATACGAGGTCAAATAATACACTTAATTTTTATGATGATTACAATCAATAATCCATGAATATATCTGCTTGTGAGATCTATGTTTACATTATTTAAAAAACAATTAAGTATTAACAAAAAAAAAACAATGATTCTAACAAAAACCCTTTCGTCACCTAGACTTTGCGAACATAAATACAGACTACGAAAAGAAAAAACATTATACACTTATAACTTATTAAACCAATTCTAAAACTCTACATCCGAATCACTACGCGAGATTTGTTACACAATCCGACTTCTAGGATTCTGGATCCGTTGACGAATAGGTAGCAGCTTTGCTGGTCTGCAACAACCAAAGTCGCGGTCACTCTCAAAAGTCAAAGTAAAAAATAACCAAAATAATGTTGCATAAATGTCCTTTCGTGACGTAAAATTAAGTAAAGACACTAACCTCACAACTATCGTAGAACTGCATAGCGGTCTCCCCATCGTGGAAGTTGATGGTGACGGTTTTGTCTACAGGAAGGTTGCTGGTGTAGTCTATACCATACCACGAGCACGAGTTGCCCGTCATCTGTAAAAAGGGGATTAAATAACTTCTCATATAATTAGGCAGTAGAAGAGGGCTCAAGAAACAGCGTAATATTTGTTCATCACATTTTGAATCGTAAATTTATAGTAAGTCTATACTTATAGTCTATCTATACTATAGACGGTAATACACATGCATGCCTGTAAGACGGAACAGTAGCGTGCATGATAGTTATCGGGGGTTTGGTTCATAATATGGACACTGCATCGACAGTCGCTGTATCAAAAACGTTGCGTCGACAGACATTACTCCAAAATTCCAAATCGATGGTACACTACATCGACATTTGACAGTACATAACTACGGTCAAAGTGATAAATGTGAAAATTATGAATAATCGCCGGTTATTATGAATAATTAGCGCATGATTTGGTAAATGTGATTAATATGAGGTCATTTATGTGTGTATAAAACTAAATAGGCGGCTAAGGGGTGGCCCAAGGGCCACCCCCGCCGCACCTTAACCTATTTTTCACTTTAAATCAAAACATTATGTTATATGCATCATGGAAAAGTAATATTATGCAAGAAACATTCCAAACTCATTATGCCAAATTATATTAATATATGATATCAAAACGTTCAAAAGTTTGGCTGTACACGAGCAGGTACACAAGATGTTGTTCTATTTTATGAAATTTGTTAGTAGTAAGGTTGAATTATTAAATAATCATTGTTAAATGTGATTAATTTATCACTTTTACCGCGACTGTCGGTAATTATTCATAATAACCGGTTATTATTAATAATTTTCAATTTATCACATTAACCGTAACACATACATCAAATCGATAGTACGCTGCATCGACAATTAGTATATCGATACTACGTTGTATCGACGCGACAGTACACCATTATTTACCGATGATACACAAGTTTTTTTAAATCACAAGGAGTCACAAGTGGATTGCTCACCTTGAAATCAGTGTCGGTGTGTATGAGCATGTCGGCGAGTATCTCGCCGGTGTCGGCGTCGGTGACCTGTATCTTGGGCGAGTAGACGTCCTGGTCGTACAGCACCTGGATGTGCGCGTTGTCGCAGCTGGAGCTGGCCGAGCCCTGCTGCACGCGCGCCGCGCCCGAGCACGCGAAGTGCACACCCGTATCGTCGTCCTCCTGGGACAAAGGCATAGTTGGGTATGTGACACCCTTCGGTCGTCTACGAAACCGTTCTGTGCCTCTAGCATGAACAGCTTTCGTCTTCGAATCGTTTGCGTATTCGACAAAATTCGATACTCAAACTTCGAAATAAACGATAATGTGACAATTTTGATGCTCAAAATAAGTTTCGTGAAACCATTTCTCATACCAAGTTTACTTTACGACACGTTCACAAGGGCGCTGTTGTAGTTTTCGTACATGTTTTGGTGGCGATTCGAATACGCAAACGATTCGAACTCGAAAGTTTTTCGTGCTAGCCGTACTGGTAACAGGTTTCGACAGCGTAAACATAAAAAATACAATAATCCTCCTAGGCACAAGTTAGATAGAACACACTTTATTGTACACCACACTAGACAAGAAAAGAAAGAGAAAAGAGTATACAAAAGAACTCCAATAAATATGTTTGCAAACAAATGTGGATTTCTGTTTTTAGTTGCTTGGAAATGGGTAAATAGTCAATGGATTAAACGAAATAGTGACGAAGATTGTGTGGACATTCCCTAGAAATATGCCAATTGATTTAGTGGAATAAATGCCTGTCAGACAACATCTTTAATCTTGTTGAGTGTCTAGCTAGCTAAAGAAATGATAAATATCAACTGAAAGTATGTGTCAAATGTTGCTGTATGCTGAAATACTAAATAATACGTACCTCATTGTAATATCCATCGTAGTCGTCTTGGTTTTCATAATCGTGCTCGTAGTCTTCATCATCGTGTTCCTCTGTTTCCTCTTCGGCCTGCTCTTGGAAGTGGACTTGCCTCAGCGGCTCCGACTCAGCCGGCTTGCTCGCTTGCCCATTGGCCTTACTATCAGCCTTCGAGTCGTCTTGTGACGTCACCGCAATGGCTGAGACAGCGGGGTCGGCGCGGGCGCTGTCCGCCAAATGCTTGGGCAGCCTCAGAGGCGCCACTCCCGAGAATGTTTTACCCTCTTTAGCTTCTCTGATGGCTTGGGCGGCCAGAGCTTGCAACTTCTATAACAATTTATTGGACTTTTATTACTATTGTGGTCGATGTTTATGGGAGTAATTATTAGTATTAGTTAAGTGAAATAATGACGATGGTATTTTAATTAAAGTCTGCTAAAATAATATCAATATTTTTCTTTCCAATTTTTTAGAAAATATAAAATGCTGACTCTTTCTTTGCCCATAGGCCTCTTCACCCCTGAAACGCGAATCCGCTTTTATTTTTTAATAAATAGTTAACATTTAGTTTCTTTAACACATAAGTTTAGTTATTATACATACGACAGCTTAAGATACCAATGTTTAGCTTGACGTACTGTCGTAATGTACCAATGATTTTAATAAATGAATATGCGAAAGTGATAAGTGTAGGTCTATTACCAGAAAACAGGTCATTATAATTATGAAAATGATAAAATAATAAATAATAATAATCTATATATATAAAAGAAAGTCGTGTTAGTTACTCCACTTATAACTCAAGAACGGCTGAACCGATTTAGCTGAAAATTGTCGGGGAGGTAGTTTATAGCCAGGAGAAGGACATAGGATACTTTTTATCCCGTTCGAAATAAAAAAAAGTCTGCTTTTTTATTGCCATTAAGGCGGAACAAAGTTCGCCGGGTCAGCTAGTAATAAATAAATCTTTGGACAATTTAACACAGCGCCAGCTAGCCCCAAAGTAAGCAACTTAATGCTTGTGTTATGGGTGCTAGCTTAACGGATATACTACTTATATACTTTTTTTTTTAAAT